GGGCAGTGATTCTTGTTTGGACAACCTTTAATCCCGACGAAGGGTCAGCTGGGGCCAAATGCGCAAGGCCTTCAGATGTTGACCAAATATCATGTTACAAAGAAGAAATGGCGGTTCGACTTGGATGGGACAAGACGATGAGGGGGAGATAAAGAACAGATCATGTCATATTTCCATCGATGTAGAAAACACACACATAGAAACAATTATATATATGTGTGTGTGTGTGATATTGTATGTGTGTATATATATATATATATATATATATATATATATATATATATATCAAATAAACTTGAAGAGGCGATATTGATAGAATTCTTTCAAACAACTTTTAACTTTTATTAAATAATAGCGACAAGGTATGCCTATCTTCTCTCCCGGATTCTCTCTCTCTCAAAATATATATATATATATATATATATATATATATGTGTGTGTGTGTTGTGTGTGTGTGTATCTGTATTTATTTGTATGTGTAACAGTGATATAGATGCATATATATTTTATCTGAATCTATATTTTATACACACACACACACACGAATTTATATATATATATATATATATATATATATATATATATATATATGAAGAAATATACTTTTTTAAAGGTACTGGTGCTATATTTATGGGATGAGCAAACGAAAATTCAGAGATAGAGCGTCATAAATATAGATAAAAAAATGAATATTGAAGTCAATAACTGAGAGGCGACAGGTTGTTGAACTGCTAGAAAATCGTCAGGTTTCATATTCCAGTCCCCCACGAGGAATGTATGAAAGCACAAGGCCGAGTTTAACATAGGTTTTCAAATCAGTGTAGGCTCGGCCAAAAAATTCCCATAGAAAGATATAAGCGGGCTCGGGATCGTCTACCTCCCCGGACGGAATAAGTCCCAATCTTTCATGCTGGCAAAGCCTCGCCTGGGTTCCTCAAATTTAAAGCAGAGAGTTCGAACAGAAATATCAAACAGTCAGAGACTGCGTGTCGGAATTCAACGCAATCGTCAGGCCGCGAATGGTGGATAAGAACTCGATTATTTATATATATAGGTCAGTGGTGCATTGTGGGTAATCCATTTTGGCGGTTATAGAATAGAATAGGCAGAGAGTTCACAATAGCTTATAATGGAGACGGGCAATGGAAAAATTAATTGCTGAACACGAGGTCCCCACCCACCGATTTAAAATAATTATTCAACACAGAATATGCTTCGGCATTAGATAGCACATAGTGGGTGAATATGGCGTGGAAAACAAAACCAATCAATCCAGTCAATGTCTGAGATGTGTTTGAGCCACAAATATACGTTCAAGGCAACATCGTGTCAGGTGAAAGTTTATAGTCAGTTCGGTAATGGTGGAACGTTCGTTGTTTGATTTGGGGTCTATCTAGTTTTACAAGCGAATCCTTCAGCCATGACATCGTCTGTCTGGTGATGGTCATCTAGTTACACTGTAGTATCGTCTCCCTACACAGATCATTAAAAATACCAATCAACCCTATCGGTCAGGACTCGGCAAAGAAAAAATGATTCAAGGGCATTAGAGAACGCATCCTACCAAAGACCAGTGAGCTGTGTGAACCAAACGATAGGCGGAATTATATCTGCTCCCTAACTGTCGACTGCCGATATTGAAAATTATTCTTGCCGTTTTGCGTCTATCTTGTTGCCCGTCCTGGGTAATGACGATAAATCTATAAAGTTTTCCTACTTTTCAAAAAAGACCAGTGAGCTATGTCGACGAACGATAGGCAGAATTATCTGCTGAAATTGTCGACTGTCGATAACAAAAATCAGTCTTAACAATTTGTGGTCTTCATTGTTGATAAGTCCATAAAAATATATGTGTTTGCTTTAGTTAACGTATTTAGCAGACCGCGGTTTAAACAGAGACTTTAGGAATTTTGAGTTGAAGTAGATTTTACAAAATGTAATTCCCAACCGATTTTGGAAATTAAAAAAAATTATTTTAAAAAACATTTTGAAATACGTAATTTGTAATTTTTAATTCTTACATATTCAACATTTTACTGTAATTGATGTAGGTTTTTTAAAAGGCCATTAATTTGGTCAATAAAGAAACCTTCAAAGACTATGGCGTCCATGAAATAAAAAAATAAAAGAAACAAACAAAAGACAGTCTCTTATATATATATATATATATATATTTATATATATATATATATATATATATATATATATGTTTTAAAACATCTAATAAAGAATTGAAAGGCAGAAATCTTACTTATTATAAAACCCAGATTGTGTTGTGTGTGTGTGTGTGTGTTCGTTTATATATTGGATTGGATTTCGTACATTTTTTCAACTGATTTCAACAAAACTTCACAGGACAACGTAAAATTACCTTGCGGTGGTTCTAATGTTTTTAAAAAATTGGAAAAAACACAATTGTTTTTGCACGAAATCAATTTGAAAACACGATTAAGAGGCATCACGAGAATGAAAGGGGACAACTCATATCGAGTTATACTTATTATAAAACCCAGGGTTTGTTTGTGTGTGTGTGTGTTCGTTTATATATGGGATCGTGTTCATTTTATATGGGATATTTTTCAACCGATTTCAACAAAACTTCACTTTTTTTTTGACAGGTAGTGTTTCTTATTGTCTTGCACACTTTTTTCTTTATTTTTACATTCAGAATGCTTTAAAAATTCCATTTACAAGACAATTGTTTATATTTAAATTCTATTCAATCGATAGACTCATAACGATTGAAAACAATGTTTTTGTTTGAGTTTGGGTTTGACCAATTCGTAAAAAAAAAACAAAAAAAACTAATTAAGACATGCGTGTCCGTCAACCTTAAACAATAATCTGTGTCAGTTTTATTTTTCAGTCTTCATGATGGTCGATACTTGATCTATCTCTTACTGTTACATCCCCGGGCAACGCCGGGCTCTACTGCTAGTATAAAATATTTGAATGAATGCTTGTTCTGTAATATACTTTGATCATTTTAATTATGAAATAATAATGCAAAATGAAATTTGAGCTCAATAGAAAAGAAATCACTTTTAATAACCCATTCTCGAATTGCCCGCTTATTCTGTTGGTATAGTAAGCCGAAGGGTGCACATCCTATGCATGCCTCACCAAAATATTACCATGCCCTGCCGGTGGGACATGCGCCTCACGATGGGACTCATTGCTCTAGAAGGAACTGGAAATACAGTCCTAAATTGAAGACAAAGACTAAACATCTACTCCTCTTCAAAAGGTAATTTAGCAGTGTGAACCAAACGATAGTCAGACTTATCTATTTTTAATTGTCGATTGCCAATATTGAAAATTTCCCTAACCAATTTGCGGCATACCTTGTTGCCCGTCCTGGGTATGACGATAAACTACATCCGCGTCCAGGGTATGACGATAAACTACATCCGCGTCCAAGGTAAGACGATAAACTACGTCCAACAGCAAGGCCACTGATCAGGAGGTTTTGAGGAGCGTGAAACCACCTCTTAGTTGCTGATGTCTACAGGTGCACCCTGACCCGGGGTGGTAGCACATATATATATGTTGTGGGGCTCTCCCCCTTTTACATAAGATGGATTCATCTAAAGTATACTTATACTGAGATACGTTGAGATACGTGGAGATACATTGAGATACGTTGAGACAGGCCTTAGAGAGGGTGTTCCAAAGAGAAATAGAAGAGAGAGAGAGAGAGAGAGAGAGAGAGAGAGAGAGAGAGAGAGAGAGAGAGAGAGAGAGAGAGAGAGAGAGAGAGATGAGAGAGAGACTTACAGAGACTTGTACAAATACTTTCTACTAACCCGCATTCCTGGACTACTAATCTTCACTTCAAGTCTGTATTCTTACGTTTAATACACTTATTTTTCTATCTCAATTAAATTGGCGTTGTTTATTTATTTGTGCAGGATTCCATTCACGGAATATAAAAATATTTAAATATATATATATATATATATATATATATATATATATATATATATATGTATATATATATTACATGGTTAAAAAAACATATAATAGAGAACTGAAAGGCAGAAATATAAAATTTTGAATGAATGATTGTTCTGTAATATACTTTGATCATTTTAATCATGAAATAATAATACAAAATTAAATTTGACCTCACTAGAAAAGAAATCACTGTTAATAACTCATTCTCAAATTGCCCGCTTATTCTGTTGGTATAGTAAGCCGAAGGGTGCACATCCTATGCATGCCTTACCAAAACATTACCATGCCCCACCGGTGAGGCGTGCGACCCACGTTGGGAATCCTTGTTCTAGAATTAAATTATAATGAAAATAGAAATATTGAAATATAGAAATATTGAAAGATTGCTAAGAAGGCTCCATACTGCCGAAAACTGACGGCCATTTTAAAGTCAAATTAGAATTGCATTATTTATATTTTCATGTGTAATTTAGGATTTTTATCTATGAGATTAACTCTGTCGTAGCCTGTAAATCAATAAAATAAAAATAAAAAAATATCTAAAAAAACAAAACTCAGCCGATTCGTACCGCATGTGGCACAAGGCCCAAAATATTTCCTATTCGAACGCGTATAAACGGGTTCAGGATTAGTCTACCTCCCCGAACGAGATTCTGACGTTCGGGGGGGGGGGTCGTCCTGGTTCCTCTCTGCTCAGAGGCAGAGAGTTCGACTGTTCAGGAGCAGGTCGCAGATGTTCAAAGCGTAGCTCAGATGTGGCACAAGGCCGAAAGTATGGGGCGCCCAGTGAGAATCGAACTCACTACTCAGTCGTAATTGTCCAAGCTCGCTAACCATTACACCACCTCGAGGTGCCCTAAACACTTCCTAGTACGAATGCCACCAAGCCCGTCCCTAACATACCACCGACGAAGTGACGTTGGGGTCCGAGTGGTTGAAGCGAGTGACGACACAGAAAGCAAACGAAGGTACGGTAAGACGTCAACCAGAATGGTGTGATAATGTCAAAGTAAACGATGAAAACTGGGCCGAATTGAATAAAT